AAAAAACTTAAAACACATAGAAGAATAGTTGAAATATAAATTTCAGTATATGTTTTCTATTTGTAGTTTGGGTGTGACAGTAAAGAACTCTGTGTTAGGAACTAACCTGCCATTATATTCCCACTTAGAAAATACACTCTTTTCTTAATTTGTAAACTTAAACAGGTGGAAGAAATAAGCCATTTACACTAACAAGCCTTAAGGAATTCTGTTTCCCAAAAAAAAAGTGAAGATTGAGAAGATCAAGTATATTTAAAAGAGCATTTTTCAAATGTTACAGACCTCTGGCCAAATTTGTCATCTCTACAACAGCTCTAGAGAGTTCACTAGCATATTGAACTGTGCATCAACATCAAACAAGTATTGTTTCAATATATTGTGGGTTTTGTTTTTAATCTGATGTGACATTTGTTTCCTACCTGAATATGTTACTAATGGCCTATTTATCATAAAAAACATCCTTTGTGTTTAAGGGCACATGGAGAGACCTACCACTCTCACTAGCAAAGTAATGTGTAATTTACTTAACAGAGTCTATTAATGAAAAGACATACTGGCACTATACATACAAACATTAAAGGTGATAAAAAATTAGCCTCGTGGATGAATGTTCACGTGGAAGGAATTACAGATGCTAAATAGAGTTGGTATGGTCACCAGTATCTTCAGCAAAATTACAGAAATTATACTTTTTATAAAAATGAGTCCATTAACATAGCTGGACTCATACAGATTTAGCAAAAGTTTGTATATCCACAGTATTCTAACTTACCATATTGCTGCTGCAATAAAGGTAGCTGTTGTGATGGGTATCAGTACTGGATATCGTGCATCATAGTCCTCGATTCCACAGTACCACTCCAGATATATTATGCAGTAAAAAGCAACAGATAAACAGGCAGCCAATAAACAACTGCCAGAGGCAAACCACCAACTGTGGAGGAAAAGCATCAGTAAGGACCAGAACATTTCAATTCTCCATTTTGCACTAGAGTTCTCCTTCTTAAGTGTACGTGCACCAACCCCTATTGAATTTAAATTTTATTCTACATACTATTTCTCCAGTCTGAGAAGTGATCTGAAAACCAGTGATACTCACATGAAATTAAATCCTGCCTTCCGAAGTATTCATAGCTCTTCCCATCTCTGCATCATCTTCAGAACAAGCATGTATTCTCCCTGGTCTATCCTTCTATTTATGAACATTATTTTGGAACATTGTTGCAAACCCATTTTTATGGTCATATCCATTATACACACTACCCTGAATAGTCTAGTGTGCACACTGCATAGTTCAAGTCTACATAACTTTAAGTAGAAATTTTAAGATTTTCCGATGTGTTTTGTGAACTAACAATTCAAGTGATTTCCTCACTGAAATCATTAAGCATTTGTTGACACATTTCTGTAGGCTTCAGAAATACACAAAAGATCCAACAATGATTCTCCCCTTTGACAAAACAGATGAAGTTTTAAGCTAATTGATTCAACTCACTGAAAACTGATGCTTCCTGATCTGTCAAACAGTCATGAAAATAAAACACAAAAATAAGAAGCTGCTCTCTCATGTTTAGGTGTTATTCTGTAATTTTTATACTTAACAACACTTCTTCACAAATCACATCTTCAGGAACACAACTTTGACTAGAGAAGTTAACAACCTCAAGCTGGAGGTATTATTTCTCTGTAGAAGGACTTTATTTCAGGATAGAGCTAGATATAGTGCAACAGGTAAAGGAGGCTTGAAAGACTAAGATATTGGGGAGAAATTCCAAGTTTTCCAGTAGTTGTAGCCAAATTAGGCATCATGGGATTACCTTATGAAGTAGCTCCTCTACAGATAGGAAAAAAAAATAAAGAACTCACAACAATCCTCATTTATTTTTTACCTTGTTTACCCAAGATTTAAAACACAGTGATCAGATGTAACAATTTGATTGTGATGCAAGATGCACACACTACTTCTCTTTGTAAGAAATGGTACCTTACCTATCTCCTTGAATAGTTTCTTTAACAGTTTTAAAAAACTCGAAGTAATATGTTACAGCAATTGATGCCAAAATCCAGAATGCAGAGTGAATATTCAGTCTGGGTGGAGGCTTTCTTTTCTTCTCTGCAGCTGTAGATTCTTCTGTAAATAAGCACATAATTATACCACTAAAGCTAGTCATTCAGTGCAGTACGGTTTTAGTCACATAAAACACAATGCTTAATCCTTTTACATCATTTATCTTCAGAGATTATTATACTCAGCTTAATACATTTTGTATTAGAGAGGAAGCAATGCAAACGACTAAGCAAGGTACCTTTTGATGAAACAATAAGGCAGTAGCAATCACCATACACTTTGTTTGTGTACCCTTTTAGAAAATTTACAGCTGACTACATTACAAAAGGGTTATTTAACCACTCAAGAACCTCCTAGTGTTATTAAAGTGTTTTGATTAATCTGACATAGAGAAGGAAAGGTCTGTATCCCAATTACTGGTTTATTTGTACTCGTTTTCATTAACTTTAATGTTTGCAAACTGAATTTCAGCATAAATCTTTCTTCTCCCTCCGCAAAGCTACTGCCACATCACAAGAGTTTTTTTAGCTTTAACTTCAGGAGCTAGACTGATTTGTGCTATATTCTGGGACAGGTAAACTCCAAATATGATTATGCTGAAACATATCTTTTGTATTCACCACTGGGAATGTTTCACAAGAAGCAGGATAGTGGAGCAAGCACCTGTGAATGCACTTTCTGCGCATGACAGTGACTAACAGGCTGGGTCCCTATATACGCTGTTAGGAAAAAAAGGGAGTAGACATACACGTGGAAGTGCTGGCGTATTTGATGTTCCAGTCTTTAAGCCTCCTTTATCACTTTAAGTTATTGGTGAATGGAACAGGAGGAACGTGATGGTCCTGCACAACGTCACAGCTCTGCCCCCTCACACGTAATCTCTAGCTGGGCATGGGAACGGCTCTGCTGAAGCTACAGATGTTCCTGGACTTTATTTATTTACACTTTGCTCTATGGGAGCCGGGCTCTGGGGCGCCCAATGCCCCTCTCCCACCACAAGCCTGTTGTCCCTGGGCTTCTCTCCAGCAGCGTC